TGCTGGCTGCGTTTCAGATGGCTGGGCGCCTGCTGGTCGCCGTCTGCTGGTGGTCGGAGCCGTGGCGGCCGCGCGGCAGGCGTTCTCCCGCGAGCCGGAGGATCAGCGCGTCCAGATGGCGGCACGGTGGTGCTGCCCTGCAAGGTAGGTCAGCACCGGCTCAGCGCCGTCACGCCGGCGGCGCAGCCAGGGACGGCGACGCAGGGCTGTAGGAGCGGCTGCCCGTGGACCCGGGCATTGTTCCACATGTAAAGTTTAGACTTACCGTTCTACGTTGGTGCAAACTTCATTCGGTGGATGCGCTTGGCCTTTTAAGTGCTTAGTCATCTACACTTTCCTTGTTTGCTGCCGACCATGAAGGGGTAGAATGCTAAAACGGATAGAGTAAGTCAGCCGTACGCTAAAATACTCACGCATGCATAGAAAAGGCTTACATATCCTGACTGGTTTCGCAGCAAAGATCTGTGGTCACGGCTGTCAGCAGCGTAACTGTATGTGCCTAGTGTTCGCGTCGTTCAAGTTGGCTGTCGGCCGAGGCTGCCGGCCCTGGCGCTGCTGTTGTGGTGCGACGCCCACCAGCTGGCGTGCTGGTGTGCCGGCTGTGGCGGGTGTCAGATGTCGGCTGGTCCGGGCCGAAGCTCGCTTGAAGCGGGAGTGGGACCGGACTGGGCTGAAATGGATCGGGCGGGGATGAGGATGGGGACCGGGACCGGGGCTGAGACCGAGACTGAGATTGAGACTGAGACTGAGACCGGGACTGAGACTGAGACTGAGACTGAGACTGAGACTGAGACCGACCGACACCGACGGACCAGACCGAGACCGAGACACCGAGACCGAGACGCCGGACCGACCGAGACCGAGACCGAGACCGAGACCGAGACCGAGACCGAGAGCGAAACCGGGGGACGGGACCTGTCCGCGTGTGACGCCCTACGCCCGCTCGGCCAGGTGGAGGGGGCCGTCGGATCGGTGCTGGACTCGAGACGAATTCGGACTGGGTGTCAACCGCGAGCTGCCCTCCTGGCCGCGCTACCGCATGGTCGGCCACGACACCGAGGGCATCTACTCGCTGAGATTCAGCGCGTGGCGCTGGAGGACGACGCCGTGTTCCAGTGTCAGGTCGGCGCCGCCTGGGTCCCCGGCATCAGGTCAGTAAAAGCGGGGTCACCGGACGCTAGGTCAGTCGGAGCAGGGCGAGCAGAAGCAATACGTCAAATGGAATGGGGTTACTTTGTGATACTTGGTCAACATGAGGGGCGAATGAATTCGGGAGTAAGCACCGGGTGCTTATTTAGTGACTCTTGTCTGATATGTCACGTTTTTTTAACCGATACATCAAGTCGATGATTGGTTCCGCGGGTCTTTTTCATCACGAACATTACATTTCTATTTGATGACAATTCACATCTATCAGTTGAGGAATCCACCACTCGGCAACACTGATCCGATTCCCATGCCATGTGTTTTGCCATGTCATATCATACCGGTTCCCATTCAGGGTCTGGTCTTGGTGACCAGCGCGAGCGCCCTCGGCCAGACCGCAGCCCTCCGGGGTCGCTGCGCGATCAGGGTCTGATCTTGGTGACCAGCGCGAGCGCCCTCGGCCAGGCAGCAGCCCTCTGGAATCGCTGCGCAGTGTGGCTCCGAATCCCGGGGGTTTGGTGGATACACTCATGTAAAGTCAGCCGCCTAACCGGATCAGAACTCCGGTCACGCAAAGTGCGACGCTGCAACCCGACGCCGAATCCAACCATTTGACAGCGTTGGCTGAAAGTGGTGTACTTAGAAGCGGTTAGTCCGGGAAATGGTCAAACTAGATGAGGTTGGGCTGGAATGTCCCCTGGCAGGTCGCTCCGGATTTGTCCGGAGTTCTGCGGTTTGCTCCGTGAAGGTCTGTGGGGATGCGGAGGTCCCAGTGTAGAATAATTCATTGCACTCACTATGTCGCGGCCAGGATATTGGTTGTTGGGTGATCTCGTGCTGGACTCACCACGCCTGATTGGTGTGAGATCCGCTTCGGATTTATGGTTCCAGCATTGCAAATCGTAATATTCCGATTCACAGTAATGTTACCGTGACCACTATTTTCTTTCCGTTTTCCTACTCTCGTGTGCTCTGTTGACATCGCTATTCGGCCATGTCCTAGTCGAATTTACTGGATGTAGTGCTCAGTGCTTGGACTTCCCAAACTTGTGTGACTTGTTTTAAGTCGTGATTATGTCCCCCCCCCTCTTCTGCGTCAGTGCTGTCCCCATTCACCTGCTGCCCGTCTTCCGGTGATGTAAATCGCCATCACTTGTTCGATGTTCGTTTCCAGATCGGCACAACACTCGTTTTCACTTTAGTCAGCGTCGGTGATCTCGACCTTGTGTTCGTACTGCTGACTCCGCTCGATATGGCTTTCGTAGCGCGTCATCTGGCAAGCACTTAACGCATAATATGCAGCTATTCAGGGCTGTCGCCCGCCCATTCTGTTCACATGCTTTTCATATGGTGGGACTGTGTAACTGTGCTAACCCCGCACATTTTTATATAAAAAGTCGCCTGCTTCAACGCGGGAGTATAGACTGAGCGACCTACATCTCCCCGCCGCGTACTTCGCCGTCGTCCCGGACTCCCTGGGGGAAACCCAACCCGCCGCACGCCAGCCACTTGCTCTGTTTCCGGACAAGCTTTGTTTCCCCCCATTACATCGCGGTCGTAAAATGCGCAGCCGGAATAGCGGTTCGCCGTCGGCCGGGGAGGCGGGGCTGCCGGCTCCGCCGCTCGGAGCGTGCGACCGAGGCGGACGCCGCGTGTCCGCCCGACCTGGCGAGTCTGACCGGCCGCACGCGGCCCAAGGTCATCACGGAAAGAGGCCGGGCCTGCCAGCGGGGCAGCCTGACCCGAGCAGCGCTGTCGGTATGCGTGCCTGCTATAGCGCTCAGTTGATAGACAAGTTTGGTGGGAACTGATATTCAGAAGGAAGTTACATGTGGTCGTTTCTTTTCACTGTTTTCGTACGTTTCAGGTTTTGCAAGCCGACTGCATTTTAAGTCTTAAAATTGAATGAATGTGGTGCAAAATTTGGTTTTTCAGGCCATTTTCAGTTGCTTACGTTACGCGGGAATCGGACGTAGCGTGAGTGATGAAAACGTCACCATCCACCAACGATTGCTTGATGGATTGTCACACTTCATACGGCTCAGTGTCGCTTCACACGGCCCAGGGTCGCTTCGCACGTACCAGTGTCGCTTCACCCAGATGAGTGTCGCTTTACACGGACCTATGTCACCTCACACAGACCCGTGCCGCCTCACACAGACCCGCGTCACTTCACACGAACCTGTATCGCTTCACACGGACCTGTGTCGCTTCATACGAAGTTGTGCGGCTTCACACGAACCCGTGTCACTTGACACGGACCTGTGTCGCCTCTAACGGACCAGTGTCGCTTCACACGAACCTGTGTAGTTTCACAAAGACCTGTGTCGCCTCACACGAACCTGTGTAGTTTCACATAGACCTGTGTCGCTTCACAGAACTTGTGTCGCTTCACACGGGCCAGTGTCGGAACACTACCCTGATCTCCGCCTCTGTGGTCTTGGCCGACCCGGGCCCCGGTTTTGGCTGTCGTGCCGGCCCGGGGCAGCGTGACCTGCAGTGCTGCGGCCGGCGGCGCCGCGCTGTGGCCGTCTGCAGCGCCGCGGGCTGGCGCAGACGGCATTAAAATTGGCCCTGCCATGCGCCGTCTGCGCCCCGTCTAGACAGGCGCAGGTCCATCAGAACTTCCCGGTAGCCAAATGTTGGGCGGGCGGCCCTCTACGAATCCGCGCTGCATTATAGATGGTCTTTCATTACACTGATTCGCGGCTGGGTAGTTGCTTGTAAGCCGGAATAGTAACAGAAAACACCTCTTGCTTATAACATTGTTATATAGTTTGCCCTAAAGCATCACCTGAAAGCTGAGTGTGTGCTGGCTAAGGTTTAAAAGCATACTATAGTGACCACGCGTTTCGTTGGCAGATTTCCGGGTTTGCCTGGTTTCCCAGTGCGCCAACTTGCAACCTCACTTTGCTAAACCTTGGAGATCAAAATTGCAAATCCCCAACTCCCCATGTACGCCATGCACATACTCACTGCCTGGTCGCGTTACGGGGAACGGACGTGTTCCGTGTGCGGCGGTGTCGCGTGTCCGACACCACCACTCAGCCCCATCTCCTGCGCGGCCACACCGCCGGCGGCACAACTTCGTCAATTTAGCCGGGCGCGCTATGCTAATTCATGCGTCAGCCGAGCGAGTTTGCGGCGGCTCACCGGTATGAAGCCGCCGTGGCGCCGCACCGCCGGCCTGATCACCAGGAACCCCGCCGACGCCGCCGGCCGGCCCGACGCCGAATATTTAGGGCGTTCGTCGGCCGAACGATCCCCGGTTGGCGCGTTAGAAGGCCACCAAACACTGATAGTCGGCAGATCAGCGCGTGGCCGGCGCCGAACGGGCCCCTGCGGCGGGATCCATCGGCCGGCGGGCGCGCGCCCGGCCAGCCCATCTCGTTACGCTGATTGCTGTGATCTGCAATTTGCCGGCGCAGATTGATTGGCGATGCGTTCATAATTTATGTATCTGCCAACGGAGGCTCCTGCGGACCGACGATAGCCTTTGATGATGTGCGTTCGCGGTTGAGGGGATTGCCCCCGCCCTGCAAACAAGGGTCTCGGTGGCTGTGTCGTGGCCGCGTGCTTGCGACAGGGGCGGGGAGTGGCGCCGGATGAGAGATCCGGGAACAGGACGGCGTCGGTGCGTCTCCACGCCGGTTCATAGAGCACGTTACCGGCAGTCCGCCGCACGCACGGGTCCCAGTCGCGCGCCTCGCGCGCGTGTCAGTCCCATCGGCGCCCGAGCACGTGGCAGGCGAGCGTCCCCAGTCTCCGGTTGGCGAGCGCGCATCGAACGGTCACGTGTTCTGCTCAGTTCGACGGAGCGCACCGCTGACGCGGTCTCGCCCCTCTGCTCGCAGGTCCAGTGACGCGCGCCTGACGGTGCTGGTACCGCCCGATGCGCCACGGATGGTGCAGGGCGACCAGCTCTCCACCACGGCCGGCGTGGTCGTGCGGCTGCAGTGCGAGAGCCGCGGTGGCAAACCGCCACCCGAGGTACGCCGCCGCCCGGCGCCGTGCGCCGTGCTCTGGCCGCCCCACTGTTGAGCTCCTGCCAGCGGCCGGGAGCGGCGGTAACCGGTGCGGCGGTGTTGTTCTCGCGTCGTACTGAGGCCCATCGACTCCAAAGCTAACGGCGCCGACTGCTCGCGGGCTGTGGCGTGGGCGGCGCCGCGGCCTCCTCAGGACTGCGGTGGTCTCGCTCGGGGGCGTTGGCCACGGCGGCGCACAGCTGCGCCACTCGTAAAGAGCACGTTGGTCTAGACGAATAAATGTTAATGCCCCGGCAAATTGACCCGCGGGGGTCGGCTGTTGTCTAAACTGTTGTGGGTGTGCTGTGGGTGTGCTGTGGGTGGTCGTTATCTGCGGAAAGCGCTGCCTTATTTGTCTTGTTCAGTGCTAACCGGCCATGCTTTACAACTGACCATTTTAACGCAATGGCCAGTTTCTGTGCATTGCTTCACTGCTGCCACCTATTGACGACCCGGTGAACCCGCAGTTGGAGTGGTACGACGGAGATGGCGAGCAGCTCGAAAACAACGTCACGAGCGAGGCGCGGCTGATGACCGACGGCAAGCGCCACGTGGTCGAGTCGACCATCCTGTTGGAGCCGGAGGCACGCCACGACGGCGCCAACATCACGTGCAAGGCGCGCAACGAGGCGCTGAAGACGGCGCAGACCGCCGCCATCACGCTGCACGTCCAGTTCCCGCCCGAGGTTGCCGTCGAGGTGGACTCGACCCAGGTCAACGAATACGATGACGTCACGTTCAAGTGCTCGGCCACTGCCAACCCGGACGATGACGTACGTTGGGTTGTGGTTGGTGAGGCTGCCTCCGCGTAGCACCGCTTTGACGGCCACAGTGTTCTACAATATCAGCGTATATGAGAAAATCCAACTCACCGTCTCAAAAAACTGCAAAGCTTGTTTGTAAAAGTGAAAACAGAAAAGTTAGCAATGCTGTTATCGCTTAAAAGACCGACATTCACACTTCCATTAAGTATTTACCATCATCGGGCGAAAGCCGTGGCCAACTGCGCGACTTGCGAGCGTAGCCACCGCTCGCCATTTTTCCTTAAGTCATTTACAACTGCCAAACAAAAAACAGACGATGGGCGTGAGATGTTTTACAAACACCCAACGATAACGGCCCGACCCCTTCGGGTCAATCAGTGACTTTCCTGGTTAAATAGCTGTATCGTCGCGATGAACGGATCATCGACATGTCAACTGTTTTGACGTCAACGTGCACCGTTGTGTTACCATGGTGCCAGCAGTGTCGCGTGGGAGGGTGTCCCCCTGCCCGCCCGGTGAACGCTGGCGCTCAGGCTGCCGGCCTTCATCCCGACGCTGACCCGCAACCTGCCCTGTCAGCTGATCTACAAGTGGTTCATCAAGGACGAGGTGGTGGTGGGCGACCACGGCACCGAGCTCAAGCTCGACTCTATTGGACGCGAGCTGCATAGCGCTGCCGTGCGCTGTGACGTCACCAACGCCATCGGCACGGGCAGCCACTCGCTCGACCTCAGTATCCGCTGTGAGTTGGTTCCTGGCGGACGACGGAGCAGCGGCGGAACTTGGCTCACTCTGACGCAATTGGTCATCGATATGGATGTTCTGCACAGTCGCTGCTGCTTTGCTTGTTTCGACATTACTGTGTAGGATTATAGAAGATCATACAATCACGCGTGATGGGGACGAGTGCCGTGGATTCCTGCATGCTGTTGCGCGTTCATTGCACGGAGACCAATGCTGGAGTGAAGCGTTCGTCTTCTAAAACCCTGCTTTCAAACATTGGAAAGTGGCGCACAATTTTCTCCATAATAAGAGGGATAGGAAGAAATTACTGAATTCTGATTCGAAAACTTCGGGCTGATTGACAATTTATCGTGTCGGCACCAAACGAGGATAACTTTACGGATCGCGCCCACCACATTCATTACGTCGAGACAGGTGTCGACGTGGGTAGATAACTTCAGGGAGTTAGTGCATATCAGGTCAGATTTTTTGTTACGTCGTCTACTGGCGCGTTGTACCTCAGCCTGTCGAGTCTTCAAATTTTAAGTGTCTTAGGAATTGGGTTTTAAACGCAGGCGACTGGAAACGTGACGTGCATGCATTGGGTCCCTACCTTGTTTTGGCGCTGAAGTGAACTTCCTGATTTACTTCTGCATAAAGATGTCTGCCTTTTGGGCCTTTCGTGTCATGCTATTCATAGTTAATTAAAAAACGCTTCTGCGAAAAGGAACAAAAGCCGAAGTGCATCAGATTCCACCGCAGTGCTCCAGCTGCGTGTACGTTTGTCTGTCTGTTGCGTCTGTGTGCTTGCGTTTGTCATGAGCCACGGAGGTCTTCTCGTGTGAAGCAGCATTGAGTTCCGCCACCGGCCACAGCATGCAGCGTGACGTCACCGGCCACAGCATGCAGCGTGACGTCACCGGCCACAGCATGCAGCGTGACGTCACCGGCCACAGCATGCAGCGTGACCGTCACTGGCCACAGCATGCAGCGTGAAGTCACCGGCCACAGCATGCAGCGTGCCGCCACCGGCCGCAGCATGCAGCGTGACGTCACCGGCCACAGCATGCAGTGTGACGTCACCGACCGCAGCCATGCAGTTGTGACGTCACCTGGCCACAGCATGCAGTGTGACGCCACCGGCCACAGCATGCAGTGTGACGTCACCGGCCGCAGCATGCAGCGTGACGTCACCGGCCGCAGTATGCGGTGTGACGCCACCGGCCGCAGCATGCAGTGTGACGTCACCGGCCGGCAGCATGCAGTGTGAGTCACCGGCCGCAGCATGCAGTTGTAACGTACTGTCACAAGCCGGGGCTGGTCGCCGCGCCGGCTGTGCGATATGTACTGGAATATGGCAGATAGCGGCGCCGGAACGTATGAGACCGTATGAGAGCCATGCAATGACCTCTGGGTTGACATTTACGCGACATGAACGCCCTTCCATGACCAATATCTCAGCAATTATTGCAACCCGGAGGCGTTTAATGAAATTAAGCAGCATCAGTGGCTATTACGGGGCCGGAAATTAAAGTGTTGATGAGTAAGCGCAGTGGACGTGTTCGGGGTGGCCAAATAACGCGCAGCTGTGTGCGCTGGCCGGGGGGGGGGGGGCTATGACTTCGGGCGCGGCTCTCTGAGCAACAGAGGAAATTGGGGAGGGGCAGAGGAAGGAAATGATCCTGGTTCTGTGTAACACGTTCTTCCCTCATGTTGCTCTTGGCATTGAAGAGCAGGAGGGAATAATCAATACAAACGGGTATGGTACCTGGACATCATAGGAGCGATGCAAGCATGCGTAGAGCGAGCGAGGCATGCATAGATGAGGGAGATTGTTAAACGCAATGACAGAAAAAGTGGGCGCCGTGTGGCCACTGTAGTCAGTGCGCTCTGAGACCCCAATCATCATCACCATCACGTAATGACAGCAACAAGATGCACTAAGTATAGGGGAATTGAAAATGACAGAGCATGACTTTCTTCACTCCTTCTTTTCCTCATTCACGGCTTCATCCTGTCTCCTGGCAGCGTGTCGTGATGCCGAGAGCATGCAGCAGGCAACACTCATGACTCGACCTCACCGCCGCCCGGCTGGGTCACTCGACCTCACTACCTCCCAGCTGGGAAGGGGGGGGGGGCTACCAGTGATAAGACATGAGTCGAACGCCTCCACTGGTGTCCCTCTGTGACGTCATGTGCGCGTGCGCTTTCGTCTTCGTATGCTACGTATTAGTATTGATTCATGTTGCACGTCGATTGGTATGAAATAGTGCCTCATTGAGAAAGGTCGGATCCTGTCACCCTTTACTACCCGCACAACTCCCTTACTCCTGCCCTCGCCAGTCCCCTATTTTTACGTACTTCTCTCTTACCCCTGCTTTTTCACTCCGTTAGCGAGAACACTTGGAGTAAAAGTAAAGGGGCCCCTCATACGCTGTTAATAGAAAGGCTGCGGTGCGACCATGAGCTGATTTTGCATGTTCAGATATGCGTTGCACCGTTGCCCTCTACTTCGTTGTTCTTTTCCACCCGTCAGATTGCTTTTCATTTCCGGCCGTTTCTCTTCGTTAGTTTCGATTCTGACATCTAACTTTATTCCATCGTGTTGACGCCTGCTATCGCGCACCCCTGAAATACCTCCAGGTGAAGAACGGCCAGTGGTGTCGGCGTGCCCCTACAGCCCAATGAACAACGGCACACATCCCTGCCTTCCCTGTACCGCGCTGTGCCCCGTGACCCATCCGTGAGCCAGAGCCATGAGTCGGAGCCAAAGCCAGAGCCATGAGCCGTAAGCCATGAGCCATGGTGGAGGCCCGGCGGCCGCCCCGCCTGACCGGCGCCTGTCCCGCAGACGGTCCGCGGTTCCGGGAAGAGCCGCAGGACGCGTCGGCCGAGGCTGGCCGCCAGGTGTCGCTGCACTGCGCCGTCGATGCCTACCCCAGCCCGGAGATCGTCTGGCTCAAGCGTGATTGCGACGACTGCCGCAAGGTAACGGCCTCGCTCTCCGGAGCCGGGCGGCTGGCGCCGTCCGCTCGGCGGCGTTTGGCCTGGTGGACTCACCCTCCTCTGGTGTGCTCCCTGTCCCCTTCCTGACTGCCCCCCCCCCCCCCCCTGTGTCCCGGCTCGGAACGACGTGTACTGCGTTATTGTATTGTATTGTACAGCCCAATGGCACCAATCAGCATGAGAGGCCGCAAATGGCCAGATCTGATATACGGTATGGCGGCGGTAATGATGACGATAATGTTGATGATGACGGTGATGGTTAGTTCCTCTCCCTCTTTTCCTCACTGTCTCCAGCATTGTCCGCGCTTCTTCTCCCGTTTTCCGTTTCTGTCCCTCCACACGGCGGTGGTGACCGCTGGGCCTGACTGAGCGCGGACGCGCTGTAACGCAGCGGGCGTCGACATTAGGCGGACGCCAGCCGGTGGCTGCGACGCCTGTGGCTAGCACGTGATATCGCCTGGTCGGCGCCGTCGGCGTGGGCTTGATTCTCATTTGCTTGACTGGGGTGCTAGCATGCGCGGAAGATGGATGACGTGGTGCGGCTGACAGTGCTTCGGACGAGCGTGGTGTGGCAGACAGACCGTTACTGACGAGGCTGGGGGGCGGCCGGGCCAGAACCCCTCTGGCTCGGCTTTTTGTCCAGGCTGCTGCTTCTCAGGATAGGGTTTTTTTTATACATGCTTATGCATTATGCTTATTTGTGGAGATAATTGCGGTATGCTTGTAGGATATGATTGTTATGCAGGTGATTAACTTATGCCCACTTGTCAATTGATCTCTCTCTCTCTCTCTTCTCTCTCTCTATCTCTCTCTCTCTCTCTCTCTCTCTCTATCTCTCTTCTCTCTCCTCTCTCTCTCTCTCTCTCCTCTCTCTCTCTCTCTCTCTCTCTATCTCTCTCTCTCTCTCTCTCTCTCTCTCTCTCTCTCTCCTCTATCTCTCTCTCTCTCTCTCTCTCTCTCTCTCTCTCTCTCTCTCTCTCTCTCTTCTCTCTCTCTCTCTCTCTCTCTCTCTCTCTCTCTCTCTCTCTCTCTCTCTCTCTCTTCTCTCTCTCCTCTCTCTCTCTCGCTCTCTCTCTCTCTCTCTCTCTCTCTCTCTCTCTCTCTCTCTCTCTCTCTCTCTCTCTATCTCTCTCTCCTCTCTCTCTCTTCTCTCTCTCTCTCGCTCTATCTCTCTCTCTCTTCTCTCTCTCTCTCTCTCTCTCTCTCTCCTCTCTCTCTCTCTCTCTCTATCTCTCTCTCTCTCTCTCTTCTCTCTCTCTCTTCTCTCTCTCTCTCCTTCTCTCTCTCTCTCTCTCTCTCTCTCTCTCTCTCTCTCTCTCTCTTCTCTCTCTCTCTCTCTCTCTCTCTCTCTCTCTCTCTCTCTCTCTCTCGCTCGCTCGTTCTTCTTTTTTTCTTTTCGTCTTCTTTTCCTTTTTTCTTTCTTTCTGCTCTTTCTGGTCTCAACTAATTTGACAAGGCGCACGAATTATTAATTATTACGCACCAATCCGCCGTGTGGGAACTTCTTAATATGAACTCCAAAACGCAATGTTACACAGCATTTGTGCTTGTTCCGGAAATGCTCTTTGCCTGGCCATGGTTTTCACCAGTCCGCACGATGAGCCACAGCTTCAGCCTGTTATCAGACTCAAAGTTGCGTGCAGAACAAGAAACTATTTGCGGGAGGCGCGCCCGGCCTGTTTTTGGCCGTGTTTGATTGCGCTGACCTCCCGGCGGGCTCGGGTGCTGAGCCAGCTCAGTCTGTTGTGCCGCGGCCGCGCCAGGCCAACGCCGCCGCGCTGTTGTTTCGCCACGTTGCGCACCTCTGGCTGCGGGGCGGCGTCGCCATCTCAGGATCCCATTTAAAGTTGGGCTCGCCGGCCTGGTCCGGGCCTGCGCGTCGCGGATCATTGCTCGCGGCGCCGGCGTCGGGAAGATGAACGTGTCCAATCACCTAGCTGCGTGGTAAGTCGGCTTCGGTGGTGGCCCTTTTTGTCGGCGGATGGTGGACAGCCGAGCTGGAGCGGGTCGGCGGCGGAGGCGGCCCAAACGCGGCTCGGCACCGGTCGTGGTGTCCAGCATACGCGGTCGGCGGCCCGTTGGTCACGTGTGCCAATGTCCGCGTCAGGATCGGGACACACGTGGTCTGCGTTCCACGAACCCCGTGTGGCGTGACCGCACTACTGCCGCTGAGTTGCGGACCTCGGGAGACGGTTGCACTCAGAGGCGCAGAGGTCATTATGCGAAAAGGTTTGCCCATATTTTTACTGGTGTTGGAAGTTGGGTGGCGTCAATAAGAAAGGACAAGTGTCTTCTCGAAGCTGCTTAACTGACTGTAACGGTTCGAACTTTGACATGATAAATGCATGATAAATGATGTTGTTTCTTGGAAATGTGGTGTCATGTATCTATGGCACTGGGCTCGTTGTTAACTTCCTACAACAGTGCCTGTCATACCTGAGTTTGAGTATATGAGTCCTCCTGCAGGGCTTAAAGTTTTATCTCAGCCTAATCGATTAGGAAGCGCCGCTGGTGTAGGCTGTGCCGCTTCTGCCACGCCCGCTGGAGCCGGTCGAGGCGGCGGTGTGACAATTGGCCCTCTTGAGTGTCATGGCTCTCTTAATCAACGAACGCGACAAGCAGCATTAACCGGGAACCTTGAATTATCTTGTTTTTAATGAATACAAATCCAGCCCATTGTTCGGTTCTCTAGCTTGTGCTCTGTGGTCCTTGTAACAGATGATATACATTTGCGCGTAATGGTAAACTAGAGGGCATGGTTCATAAGCATACAAGTGGCCGGCACTTAAACTACGTACTCGAGCGCGGCTGCAGGCTTCTAGTCGGTTGGTTAGAGCGATCACACGTGCGGCTCGATCCGGTGTCTTATTAAAGGACATGTTCGGGCTTCCCCACCAAACTGTAACATCCTGCTGGAAAGTGTACAAAGCGTCAGTCGGCCGAAAGCACCGAGCGTCCTGTTTCTCTTGCAATGGGCGATATGTACTCGCGGCAGCGTCTACAAGTTGGGATTATTGGCATCCAGCGCAGGCGGCTGAACCTGCTGTTTCCTCTGTTTTTGGCTTTTTAGACATGATGGAACTTATAGCGTTCGACTGAAATACTCAGTGGGCAACTTCGGTGACAAAGTACAAGCCTTCTGAAATCACTGAAAACCGACGGTTTTCCTATGCTGGTGTTCCATTAAACAATTCAGTACGCAGTTCTAGAAATGCGAGTTGGTAAAGGACATTTGAGCCCTAACTGACCTGAACGTCCACGCGGTTGCCGTTTGGAGGTCGTTCAGTTGTAAACAGGGCAGCAATTTGGAGCTTGAACCTCACCTATCTTCTTTCGAATACTTACATGAGTGTGCCGATCCGAGAAATTCGTTCAATTTTCGACTTGCTCTGATATGACAGTGAACGATGTGCGGCTCGTACTGTGGGAGCGGCTGCAATGTCGAGAAACCGCACATTCCCTGTAAAACGTGTTCACGCTTTTGTGTGGTTAAACTTCAGGTTCGATCGCGGGTTATAACGTAAAGGTATTTTGAAGCAAATAGAGCGTAAATAGCCCTCCGAATGCAGCTGTAGTGATGATTCACTGTAGTGCTGCTGCAGCTGTAGTGATGACTCACTGTAGTGCTGCTGCTGCTGTAGTGATGACTCACTAGTGCTGCTGCAGCTGTAGTGATGACTCACTGTAGTGCTGCTGCAGCTGTAGTGATGACTCACTGTAGTGCTGCTGCAGCTGTAGTGATGACTCACGTATTCGCTGCCATGGTTGAGTGATGCATTTACTGGCGTTCTCATTTTCATTTCATCTGAACGCATACTTTATTTAAGAATTATACATTCGGTCTCATTTCGTTGGTTTCCCTTTTGAACAAATGACTTGTAATCTCACTGTATTTATCTTCATCGTGCGACATTTTGCGCTGGCATTTTGTGCGCCGAGGGCATGCATGTAACTCTTCTAGAGCCTTAAAGAGAGTGTCCCACATTTGTGTGGGGTTTTGAGCTGAAATGGCCATTCTGAAGATCATTAGGTGCAGTCCGCAGCCCTTCTTTAGGCCTAATTCACTCTAGCTTCTGAGCTACACCCCCGCCAACATTTGCAGTTGATTTCGTTCAGACTGTTTCAAGGCTACTCCAGCACGCACGACGCTGTAGCAATACCACTGAAATCCTGCCACCTCACGAGTCACACGACGCTCAATGCCAGAAATGATATTGTCCAGCCGTTCATACTTGGACTCCGTAAGCGCAAGTATAACCCGTAGTATAGCGCCATACGGAGTATGGGAATACATGCAAACATGTTACACCCACGAATAAATATGCGAGTTACCACGAGAAAGTGTCAACACACGACCACATAACGACATTTGGCTCAGCGAACACTTTCAGCTCGTGCTGCCACCTCTCGACGAGTTTGATGCACTAGAAGTAAATGACAGTTTCGCACAGCTAGTTTGGAAGTACCTCTATGTCATACAAACGGTCCATTACGCAATAAAACACCAATGTATTGAAGACCATGCTTGTCAGAAATAGAAATCGTGCTGCCTAGAGCATCTTTTCCACTTAACGGGAGTCTTGCACATTTCTATGGGGTTTTGAACCGGAATAGCGAACTTTTTATAAATTTGATCCGGACCCTTTGAATGGATGGATTTCTGGGATCAGTGCTCACGTTAAGCAGCGCTTGCTGTGTGAGCTCTGACCCCCACCACCCGATTGCGCAATTCCAGGCAACGGCAGAATTAGTGACGAAATATTAACGTGCCGCAATGCTCGGCACGGTCCGTGTTGCCTTCTGACATCAACTGACCTTAAGCGCGACCGCTGCCACCGGCCGCAGGCCATACCTGTCATGGGGAAATAGCGAACGCCCTAAAGCGGTTCGAACGCAGCCTGCCACGGGTAGGTGGAGCGGAAGAGAGGCGCTCTAACCAACTGAGCCACCGGGACGGACAACTTGATAACTTGAGGACCTTT